GGCCCCAAATATATTTGTATAATGTTATCATATCCCCCTCTGAGGCATCATTTTTCCAAACCAAAGAGATTTAAATTTTTTAACCTTTCTTCGTAACTAATTGCAGCTGAAAGAACAATACTGAACCATTTGAAGCACAATCACTGATCAAAGGATTTGTTTGTTACAATAAACGGCCTGACTGAGTTTTTTTCTAACTAATGTTTTAATACAGAGTTGCATGCTTTGATTGACACCATTCTGTCCATATGAAGCAATGTAAATTAGAAGGGTATTCTTTTGGTATTTGTGTGATTTGATATTTCTTTAATGCTTTTTTATATACCGAGTTTGTTTTATTTGCATCACTGTTACTGTGATTTCTTTTATTTCATTATGTGTTTTTTACACTGACATATTTATGTTCTATGTAGAAAAGTATGTGGAATTTGTCTTATAAATACCTGCCCTGCCTAGTGTGGGTTAACACAGACACATTAAAATTTATTTATATGCATTTGGTTGCGACATACAGTGAATACAAACACGTAGGGACTATTTTGTGAATAAATCATAATGTCTAGCTTATATATGCATGTAATCTATGTTCAATGTTTATTGTGTCTGGGAAAGAATGGTTGGAAAGGAACAGTCTGGGGGAGGAGACACCAGGGGGAAGAGGACAGGAACTGAATGGTTTATAAATACCTGATATGTTTAGTCTATTTAAAATAAAATGGTTTTATAATGTTGAATGTGTTGAGAAATTGTACAGTGGAGGCTTATGAGGACCTTACTGGGAATAGTAAAATCGCCATCTTGTTTGTAGTGTTCTGGTACAATAGCAATATAGAGTTTATAGTGTAATGGTAGAGGTACTATGGAAACCCCAGCAGTGGTTATGGTGTCATGGTAAAATAGCTACAGCAGCAAAAACTGTTTTTCTAATGTGGAACAAAGTTGCTATTGCAACTGCAGTAAAATTTGTAATTTCCTTGTAGAGTTGCTATGGCAACCCCAGAGTTGCTATGGGAACACTAGCAGTGTCTACAGTGTTCTGGTCGAGTTCCTATGGCAACACCAACAGTGTTTATAGTGTACTGGTGTAGTTGCTATGGCAACACAAGCATTGTCTTTAGCTTCCTGGTGAAGTGGCTACAGTTTTGATAATGTCAACACCAACAATGTCTCAAATGCCCTGGCAAAGTTGCTATGGCAACCCAAACAGTGTTTATAGTGTACTGGCACAGTTGCTTTAGTAACATCAACGGTTTTCATAAAATACAGGTACAGTTGCCATGGCAACACCAATAGGTAGCCTAGCAACTCTGCCAGTACACTATGAGCATGCTGATATTGCAAAGCAGTTTTTTTAAACCTTTGAAACATTGTAATTGTTAACAGGTGTTAGTTACTCTAAAGGTATTGGAGATGCACTTTGATGAAATGAGATTAGGAATAGGTGAGTAAGATCACACTAGAAGTATAGAACTGAGTCAGGATGATGCAAACTAAACATGTTGTATTTTTTTCCAAAATAGCAACAAAACAAAAGTTTGTTTCTGAGCCAAGGAAAGCAGATTTGTATACAGAAACAGTCTGTATAGCATTAGTGTGAGAAATGGCAGTAATTCTTTCCAGATCGCCTTCTGAATGGACATGTCTGGGCACAAGATGCATTTATACTGAGAGGCTCTCCTTATATAACTAACTAGGAGGCCTTCACATGGTATTGACTAACAATCTAAACCTGACCTGGATTAATCCTCTCATGTTGAAGAATTTGTCTGTTTATACCTACAAATTGGCCCATTTATCCCAAAAACCTTTCAGTATATCCTTCACTCCTGAGAATTTGCTGCCAATTCTTCTCACTCTGCTTACAAATCTGAAAATTCATCCTTGGGCTCTGAGAATCTGCGCATTTACCCTCATAGTCTTTCATTGTAACTTTCAGTCCCAATAATCTACCTATTTTTAAGAATCTCTTTATTTAACTTTTGACCCCAATAATCTCTTCATTCACCCTGACATCTACATATTCGTCCTTAGAATCTGTACATCAACCATCAAGATCTGTTCATTCACCCTGAGAATTTTCCCATTCATTATGTTTTCATTTTTTTGCTCAATAACTAGGATATTCTATGTATTTCCTATTTTAATCCCTGCTCACTTACCCTGAGACCCAGAAAATCTGCTCATTTACTATAGGATGTGAAGACCCTCCATTCACCCCCAAGAACCATGCCTATGGAGACCTTGTGAATTAGCCTGTTCATGTCAAATGTTCTTATAGCCTTTAATCAGTACATTCAGTGATGTAGAATTTGTTGGCAGTACTACAGTAACAATAATTGACAATAATGAATCTGGTAGAAAGGATGTATTTTACAGCAGAGATTTTAATTCGATTTACTTAAGAAAAAATTATATACAAAGCTGTTGGGCATTTCACATCTGGCAAAGAAGCACCACTGGATGAAGAAGAGAACATAAAACCATATTCAATTATATACCAGCCTGCACAAATGGAGTCCCAATAAGTAACGTCAAGGAACAGAGGGTGTGAGAACTTAAAGGCCCATTGATTAGGGTCATGCAACTCCAAAGTCTTCGTTTAGGAGACTAGATCTGATCATTTTGAGAATGGTTTGATGAAGTTAGTCATTTTCTTCTGCCATTTTTGGTGTTGCATCAGGGGAATTTGAGAAGCTACTGGTGGAGCTGGAAGCCAATCTGCCACATGGACTGAAGACCTTGGTAAATTAGTCTACATCATGAACGGTAGAGATGGAAGCAGTGGTACCTTTGTAGTTTGCAATCAGAGCAAAAGGGAATCCCCATTAATACTTGATAATATGGATGCATTACTATTCTGTTACAGAGAGTGGTCTAGGCCTGTAAGGTGTAATGTGATAAGCCAGGGAAAACGGGAATACTTGAATAATATCCCCATGAAAAAACAAATATCTTTTCAAAAAAAAAAACTAAAATAACGTCTCTGGGGGAATCCTCATTTTGGGGGAGTGTCATGTTATTAAGGTCCAACACTGGGTTGATTGTAGGTAAGGTCTGTGGCCAGTTGCTGAAGATATGTGGCAATAAGCTATCTGTCATCCTTTAAATGCTGGACACTTATATAAGCTATATATGCCTATCCACTTAATGCAGTCACAGGTGGATTGTTGACCCTGTCTGCCCAACCCAACAATGATTTACTTGACTGTGAATCCTGGGCTTTGACCTTAGTCTGTCTCTTAAATTGTCTTGCTTGCTTGCAACCTTGACCTATGTTTGATTCTGACCCTGAATATCCTAGAACCTTGTATTTTGTTTTGAGACTTGTTCCGTGCGCCACACTAAACAACAAGACATATATAGAAAAGTTCCTACATGGTGCATTCCAAAATCACTCTGTGCATGTTCCTTATCAATCGTCAACCACTGCACCAGGACACGTTTCTTATTCAGAGCTCAAACTGACCCTCGATGCTGTAAAAAATAGACATGAGCATGGGAAAAAATATAATTTGTGAGAAATTCAATTCAATTTGTACAAGCCCAATTTTGCTATTTATTCAGTTTGGTTTGCCTGAAGAATGTTAAATTATTTAAGATATTAATTAAATTCTGTAACACTGAATACATTTTTACATTTTAAAAATGAAGCTGGCAAGCACCACACGTCAACGGGGGCAGAGGAGGGGCTGTCCAAATGTTCTCCCAAAATTAGGAGAGGGCTGTATTTCCATGAGCTTCTAATGGGGCATTTGGTAAGAGGGCTTGTAGTTATCACATTCTTAAAGTTGGGGAATGGGAGTACTCTGAGCCATATAACACCCCATTTTAAATCATGTGATCCCCCAATACTACAGCACAGAGCTTAGAGGGGAATAGCTGCCTGCAGTTACCTATTATTTAAAATGTAAATGCCCCATCTTGCAGCTGTGGGAAAGGGTAGAAACAAGATGGCATTCCGCAATTTGAACTAATCTTCCATCTCACAGCCCAGGGGATTGGAGAAGGATGTTCCTTTTACCAGGGGCGGACTGAGAACCCTCAGGGCCCCCGGGCAAAATAAATCAAGGGCCCCCTTACAGGCCCCACCCATACTCTGCAGCAAGCGCCACCCTTGTCCCGCCTCCATGCACCGCCTCCAGCCACACCCTACACAATCTTTAGACACAAGGAACAAAAGGGCAATAAGCCCTTCGAGGCCCCAGTAGAGACTACAATTGAGGGCTAATGGGCCATGGAGGGGGGTCTTTCTAGCGGAGGCTATCTCAGTGTCCTTTATAGAGTGTGTTAGAAAGAATCCCCTCCAAGCCCCATTAGAGACTACAATGGAGTCTAAAAGGCTTGGAAGGGGGTCTTTCTAACAGAGGCCATCTCAGCGTCCATTAGATATCCCCTGCTGGAAACAGTCGCCTCCAGGCCCCAGTAGAAACTACAATTGAGGGCTAATGGGCCATGGAGGGGATTTCTAGCAGAGGCTAGAGTCTAATGGGGCCTGGAGGGTGGTCTCTCCAACACTCTGGTTCCTATTCACAATATAGCAACACAACATAGCTCGCTGATACCTAAGCCAAGTTGGCTCCTCTTACCTTAATTACTGTTGCTGGCTGGCAGTCTGTGGGCTTGCTGGCTGCGGCTGGCAGGCTGTGGGCTTGCTGGCTACTGCCGGCAGGCTGTGGGCTTGCTGACTGCGGCTGGCAGGCTGTGGCTTGCTGGCTGTAAGCCTGTGGCTTGCTGTAGGCCTGTGGGCTGGCTACTGGCCTGTGGGCTGGCTAACTGGCTGGCTACTGGCCAGCCTGGGGGTTGGCTGGCTGGCTACTGGGGCACTTGTAGATTATTTAAAGAAATAATCCATGCACAATAACCACTACTGCTCCAGAGTAAGTAGTCAAACCGTTTAAGAACAGTTTGACAACTTACCTGGGGTCTGCTGGGATATGAGGCTGTAGTAGGGAATAGGAGCAGTGGTGCAATGTGTGTGAAAGGTTCAGTGTGTGTGTGGGGGTGTAGTGTGTGAATGTGTAGGGTGTGTGGGCAGTGTATGTGTGTGGCAATGTTAGTATGGGGGGCTGTGTATGGGGGTCTGTGTGTATATGGGTGGGCAGTGTATGTGTGTGTGTGAGGCAATGTGTGTAAATGTGTATGGTGTGTATGGGGGCAGTGTGTGAATGTGTTTGGTGTGTGTGTGGGGGCAGTGTGTTTATGGGGCTAGAGTTCACTCTCACCACTGCGACCACCAGGAATCCATGGGGGTTACAGTGTTGAGAGTGAACTCTAGCCCGTAGCTCCAGGGCTAGAGTTGACTCTCGCAAGAGCAGTAACGTTGCCATGGTAACCGCGGCAACGCTCTGTGCTCGCGCAAGAAGGACCCAGAGGAGCTGCAGGGTGAGCTCCCAGGTCCTCTCTTCCTCCCCTGCCCGCACGGTGCCTGCGGACAGGGGAGGGGGGGCATTCTTCCCTCTCTTTCTCCCCCCTCCCCCAACTCTCTATTCCCCCTCTTTCTCCCCGTGTCTCATTCTTCCCTCTCTGTCTCTTTCTCCCCCTCCCCATCTCTCTATTCCCCCTCTTTCTCCCCGTGTCTCATTCTTCCCTCTCTGTCTCCCCCCTCCCCATCTCTCTATTCCCCCTGTGTCTCATTCTTCCCTCTCTGTCTCTTTCTCCCCCTCCCCATCTCTCTATTCCCCCTCTTTCTCCCCGTGTCTCATTCTTCCCTCTCTTTCTCCCCATCTCTTTATTGCCCCCCCTTTCTCCCCCTCCCCATCTCTCTATTCCCCCTCTTTCTCCCCGTGTCTCATTCTTCCCTCTCTGTCTCCCCCTGTGTCTCATTCTTCCCTCTCTTTCTCCCCATCTCTTTATTGCCCCCCTTTCTCCCCCTTCCCCATCTCTATGTCCCCCCTCCCCATCTCTCTATTCCCCCTCTTTCTCCCCCCTCCCCATCTCTCTGTTTCCCCCCTCCCCATCTCTCCCCCTGTTTCTCCCCCCTCCCCATCTCCCCTCTTTCTCCCCCTCTTTCTCCCCCTCCCCATCTCTCTGTTCCCCCTGTTTCTCCCCCTCCTCATCTCTCTCCTTTTCTCCCCTCCCCATCCCTCTGTTCCCCTCCCATCTCTCCCCTCTTTCTCCCCTCTATCTCTCCCCTCTTTCTCCCCCTCCCCATCTCTCTGTTCCCCCTCCCCATCTCTCCCCCTCTTTCTCCCCCCCTCTTTCTCCCCCCTCCCCATCTCTCTGTTCCCCTGTTTTCCCCCCTCCTCATCTCCCTTTTTCTCCCCCTCCCATCTCTCTGTTCCCCCCTCCCATCTCCCCTCTTTCCCCCCCTCTTCATCTCTGCCCCCTCTTTCTCCCCCCTCCCAATCTCTCTATTCACCCCTCTTTCTCAAGTCTGAGGGGCCGGCCGCGTTTCATGCTGGAGCCGCCGGACCGGGTGGCAGCCTCGCCGGTCCGGCGGCATTCCTCTCACTAACGCTGAAGGAGGAGGAGCATGTCTCTCTGTCATGCTCCTTTGCAGTTCCCACATCCTGTGCTGGGAATTGTGGGAACCGCAGGGAGCATGATAGAGAGACATGCTCCTCCTCCTTCAGCGTTAGTGAGAGGAATGCCGCCGGACCGGCGAGGCTGCCTCCCGGTCCGGCGGCTCCAGCATGAAACGCGGCCGGCCCCCTCACAGTGTGCCACCGGACCGGCCACCCGGTGGCACCTTCCGCTGAAGTCCCCAATCCAGCCCTGCCGCCGGGCCCCCAGAAGGCGGCCCTGGCGGCGGGCCCCCCTCCCGGCCGGGCCCTCGGACCGTGTCCGAAGTGCCCGACCGGTCAGTCCGCCCCTGCCTTTTACCAGTAAAACATAGCTCATTATTAGCTCAGAGCTCCCTGCTTGTAGTTCAATTTACAAAAAACAAATATTAACATGCATGGATGTGTTTTATCTGTTAAATGAGTACTAAATAATTAGGAATATAAACCTGTGTTCCTAACTCCTTACTGTGCCTGTCCCTTTTGTCATATAAAATAAAATATATCTTAATTTAATCACTTTTTTCCAGCGCCAAGGATCCATCTCCACTGCTTACCTCTCCTCCTCCTGTGATGTCACAGAGGCTCTGCTGATGTCCAATATAATGCTTCGCTGTAAACATGGTAGTTTAAAGGGACACTATAGGAACCCAGACCGCATCATCTCATTGAAGTGGTCTGAGTGCACTGTCCCCTTAACCATGCAATAGTAATATTTGCAGTTATTGAAAAACTTGCATTAATTACTATCCAGGGTTAACTCCATCTCTAGTGGCTGTCTACCAGTCAGCCACTAGAGGGACTTCCGGGTCATTAGGCGACTTTCGGACGCCTAACTGATGCTGGTCGTCGTCAAGCTATTCATGTGGACGTGGAGCGTCACCCAAAACCTCATCGGAAAGCATTATACAATGCTTTCCTTTGGGGCTGTTCTAATTTGATCGTGGCTCACGCCATGTACGCACATTGGGTCTATGACGTCAGACGACGTCTGGCAAGGAGGAGCCAGGACGGAGCCTGACTCAGTGCCGAGGGACATCGAAGCCAGATTCAGGTAAGTGACAAAGGGTTCTGTGCTGCAGTGGGGTCATGTGAGCGAGGGTGGCATTATAGGATACTATATTGCTAGGAATGTCAGTTTGCAATTCTAGCACTATAGTTTCCCTTTATGTAACTGGCTGAAAAAACATTGTCAAGCCTTTAAAAAAAAAAAAAAAAAAAAAACAGGGATGATATTTTATTACATTATTTTACAATTTACAATGCATGTTATTCACCTGGTGTAATGTCAGTGATGTCATTGATGACATAATTTAAACACTGGTATCAGCGCAGAGAATGAAGCAGGAATTTCCAGTTTTTGGTAATGGAATTTTGTTACGTTCTAGTTACATTCCTTTAGTGAAAGTCTGTTTTTGCGGAGAAAGGTGAAAAAACTGGCACAGTTCACTCTGAGCTGGAGCGCCGGCAAATACCAGTTATAGTTTACCTGCTTTTTAAAATTTATTTACATGTTTTGTTCTACAAAAATAGGCAACAATATGGGATAGAAATATATTTTGCTTTTGATGAAGTAATAAATTAGCATTATTTTGCATTTTTACACTTAAAGGAATGCTCTAAACACCATAACCACTACATTGCACAGTAGTGGTTTTAGTGTCAGGAGCACCAAGGCACTAACAGTACCCTAACCCCTAAAGCACATTGTAGTGGTTATGGTGATTGGAGCGTTCCTTTAATACAACAAAATTGATTTTATGATAACTATATTGAGTTTAATGATTGGGTGAATACTACCTCTGGATTTTGTATCAGTGGGAAGAGCCATTAGTTGGCGAAACGCACGTCGGTCCTTGAATGTGGTGGTGTCGTGTGATTAGGGACGATAGTGTAATTAGACATTTTCATGAGACGTAGAAACCCCACATTAATTGTTTTAAGTATTCATTATCATTTTTCTTTCATTCATTGAATGTTGAACTACCATTTAATCCGGTCCAAGTCACAAATATCGGCTGAGATGCTTTTTCGCCACCTATATGTTCAGTCATATACTCCTGTCCTTTCTTTTACTTTAATATATTTAAAACCAGATACACTATTCCTAGTTTACTAACAGGATTGTTACTGTAGTCCACTTGTTATGTGGATGTATGAACACTGGTAATTTAGGTAAGGCAATGTTTAGTCAATAAACCCTTTTTTCTAATTTCCATTTAAAGTCAATGAATTGTATCTATCTTTAGATCTGACTTGTATCTATTTAGCTCTATACTGTTGGTAATGTTGTTCCTTTGCCACTTAAAGGTTGAGGAAGTGCTTTCAAATGGTGAATTTGTAACATTTTTTTTCTTTTCTTTTTTTTCCTGAAAGTTTGGTTTTTCAGAATTTAGCCAAGAATCTCCCTAATGAGTTAGACCAGCGGTTCCCAAACTATGTGACGGGCACACAGGGGCGCTGCAAGTTATTTTCAAGTTGCTATGATCAAAGCACCGGAAACTTTGCCTCCCTCTCCCCAGCCGGCTCTGCAGGACCGGAGGGCAGATCAGAGATCTCCCTCTCAGGCCCGCTCGCAGTGTAATGCTGCAGCCGGCAGGAGAGGGAGGGAGTACTCGCAGGAGATCTAACCAGCAGCTTCGCTGTGTTCTCCTCTTGCGAGCTTGGAGCGTTGACGTGGTAACCGCAGCAACGCTCCGAATCTCACGATAGTGAACTCTAGCAACTCCCGAGGCTGCTAGAGTTCACTCTCACCACTGAGGACCACCAGGGCTTCCCTACCAGACCACTAGGGATTAGTACTGTCCCCCCTCCCAGGCAAAGGTAAGCAGGAAGGTTGGATAACAAAGTTGTTGTGGTTTTTTTTCCTTTATAATATTTATTAATCTACCCACCTCCTCCTACCCTTCCCCCCATATACACACTGCACCCTATACAGTGGCCTCCCAAATATACAAACTGTATCCCTCTCACACACTGCCCCCCAAACACACATGTACCCCTCACACACACCCTGCCCCCCATAAACACACACACTGCCCCCCCATACACACAGCCGTTCATACACACACCCTGCCGCCATACACACACACACTGTACCCCTCACACACTGCCCCTACCATGCACACACTGCTCCCCATAAACACACTGCCCCCCATACACACACACTGTACCCCTCACCCACACTGCCCCCCATACACATGCACTATACCGCTCAATCACACTCTGCCCCCACAAACACACTGCCTCCCTCAATACACACACACAATGCACCCCTTACACACACACTACATCCTTCACAAACACAAAGCACCCCCGTACACACACTGCACCCCTCACACACAAAAATATATTGCGCCCCTCACACACACCTCTACTCTTATCCCCTATTAAAGCCCATATCCCAGCAGACTCCAGGTAAGTTGTCAAACAGTTCTTAAACAGTTACAGTTTACAACGGTACTCCTGGCACCATAACCACTACAGTGTCGCTGTAGTGGTTATGAGTCTGTCCCTCCCACTGCAGGGTGACACAGTGACACAGACAGAAGGAGCTATGAGTCTGTTCCTCCCCCTGCAGGGTGACACAGTGACCACGGCTTTCTGATTCTATGTCTGTCCTTTGAACCACAGGGTGACAAATTAATTAAATGTGTCTGACTCATGCTGAATTTGAATAAAAATAGAGTCAGCCTTTTAAAGATTTTGTTATTTTTTTGTCACATTTCCCAAAACTACACTATTTTTACTTTTGATCCCAGCCTGTTCCAGTTTTGACAGCAGTTCTGTGGTAAAAAGTTAATACAACTATTTTTAGTTTGTGTTTTGGTGATAGTGCAAACAGCAACCCACAGAAAACATCCCACGTGTGTGTGAGAGAAAAAGGGAGCGGAGGAGAGGGGAGGGGGGTTTAGCTGGGAGACAGAGTTGGACAAAGAGAGCTGGAGTTTAACCTCTTCCCTACCGGATTATTTTCATTAAAAACTCCTTAAAATATTAATATTTAACACCTGACATAAATAGCTAGCAGCAAAACAACAACGTTGTGCATATATTGCTGCTTAAAGGGACATAATGCACATTTACACAATTTAACTTTTTCATTTATTTTGACGAAATTAAACATGTACTAAATTTCATGACACCCCTTATCTTGCGATACTTGAGAATTTAATGCAGAAGCCAATGTACAATTTTTGTAAATACAGAAATACATACAGCCTCTGCTTATGGATATTTGTAAAGAGCATGATGGGATTTATTTTGTTCTGGAGATTCCCGAAAATACCATAGGATTGCAAAAATAATGTGTGTGTTTGGTAGTGCAGTGGAACCTCGGAACTTAAACGCTCTCTTACCACAACAAGTTGGTGTTCAAACATAAAATTAGAGAAAAAATGTCTTGGTACCCGAAGAAAACTTGGTATTAGAACAAAATCACACAGCCTTAACCCCTTAAGGACCAAACTTTTGGAATAAAAGGGAATCATGACATGTCACATATGCCATGTGTCCTTATGGGGTTAAACTCGTTGGTACCTCATTGGAACCTCGGCGCATCGACGCATTGGCCTCCTAGTACAAGACAGGGCGAACAGAGCTCTATTCTATCAGTGAACAGAGCTCCATTCTGACAGCAAACAGAGCTCCATTCTGTCAGCAAACAGAGCTCCATTCGTCAGCAAACAGAGCTCCATTCTGTCAAGCAGAGCTCCATTCTGTCAGATTTCTCTCAGAGTTCCTCTCTCCTCGGTTGCTACAATGCAGCCAATGTATTTTGAGCCACTATGACTCCTGTGCAGTGTAGGAGGAAGACAGAGATTCTTAGTCCCTCTGCAAGATGAAGACACACAAGCAGCAGTTACGTTTGGTTTTTCCACCGGGTGAAGGCACATACTGGAGCAAACGGAAAGGAATCTTTTTATCCACTATATTTTGCAACCTGGTTTGGTAGGGAAAGTGTTAAACACATACTAAACGTTTCTAGCATTTACTTCTCTTTTCACAAACCAGTTAATTATAGTGAATTGAAAATGGATTTACATAATTTAGGTAAAAATTGTTTTGATAAATTCCCCAACCCTGTTAAAAACTTTTACTGGGTCAAAAGGCATGCACTATTACTGCTGCTGCAGACAAACTACGCAGATCCTGCTGCTGTCAATGACTAATTCCTGCCCAATCAACTGCACTAGTTAGTCTAAAATGGCTCTTATCAAATGACTAAGTATGTAATTTTAGTAATAAGAGTTGTGTAATATTTTCCAATAAGAAGTCTTGTAAACATGTATTCCTGTCACTATAGCTGTAATATAATTATTTACCCCCCCCCCATCATCAGTGTAAAAGGTGACCCTGATCTGCCTCCTTGGCTGAGACAATCGAAATTGCTAGCCAATCAGTATCTCCTCATCAATGCATCTCTATGGGGAATATGGAAACGCTGAGCGTCATGTGCAGCACTGATCCAGGAAGCACCTATTGTGGCTGTCTGAGTGACAGCCACTGGAGGTGTCCCTAGGCTATAATGTAAATACTGCCTTTTCTCTAAAAATGCACTCTTTACATTAACGTGCCTTCAGGGACATGCTATAGACACCATAACATTAAGTGGTAGTTGTTCTGGTGACTATAGTGTCCCTTTAATAGAAAGGGACTAATATAAATAGACTATTTTATGTCCTCATATTACAACATGCAGATGATAGTTAGAGAGAACATAGAGAGATATAAAAGATTATTTGCTAAATTGAGAAATATCAGGATTTCAAAATGAAATTCAAATTTAAGCAACAGTAGTTAAATTGGAAAAAGTGAGCTGTTACTGGCTGTACAGTATTCTAAAGGGAATATTATTACTGAGACTGAACATAAAATCTAAAATATATTAACACGCAGAATTTTTATGTGTGATCGTTATATACACATTGTGCTTTCAAATCTATTATGATTAAATAGAAAATAGTGTAAAATGTATCCAAAAAGTAAAATAAAAATATTGTCGTTTACATATATGGGGTTATTTGCTAAAGTAAGAATTCAAAGTAAATTCAATATGAATTTAAAGTTACATATACCAGACTTAAGGCTGAGGCTACCTAGGTGCCAACAAACATTTAAAATAATGCAAAAATCAAGAGTCTCTGAGGTGCTGCTATAGGACAAGATGCACTGAGAAAGGGCTTGTTGCCCGAAATGTTGGCTAAATATCTTTGTTCTTCAATAAATGCGGTAGCCTTGTTGCACAGCATACTGGAGTGCACCCCTCCTTTTTTCATTTCAGATTGAATTTAAAGTTATGGTCAAAATAGCTCAATCGAAAGCATACCGACATGTTTCCACTATTTTGACCATAAATTAGCATTTTTAATTCTCCGTTTAGCGAGAAGCCCTGTTAATATCAGCCACAAAATGTGATATTATGTTAGTGATATAACGTGTTAAATATTCTGATATTTATTATGCTGTGAGTCATTTCATTTATTTAAACCAAGTTATGTAAGGCATATGTAATCCGAGTTTTGTAAACCAAAAACTATATATATCGCAGGTGCGTAGGACATTATCATCTGCATGTACTTTTTTAATTAGACAACGTTACAGATTGGAGTTTAATTTACCCAGATGGTAGTGACAAGCTGGTCATATTAAACCACACTTTCATGGAACAATAGAATAATGGTGTCTCCAATGGCCTTTTCCCCCCAACACTACTTCTATGGCATTCTGTGTGATGTACTATTCAACTTTAAAAGGAAGATTTATACATTACAGCCATTATTAGATACAATCTTCAAGAAATACTTATCCTGACTGCATTGGAATTTCACTGAAAGAAACTATAGAGCGGGGGTAAACAACCTTCAGCACTCTAAATGTTGAGGACTACATCTCCCATAATACACTTACAGCCATAATGCTGACAAAGTATCAGGCGAGATGTAGTCCACATTATCTGGAGTGCCGAAGGTTGCCTACCTTGCCATAGGGAATAATTTGTCTCATGGGAAATTTAAGGTTGACAAAATACTGAGCTCCACCAACAACTTTTGTCCAATCCAAGCCATCGTCAAAATCGACAGCTGTTGGATTCAGACATCAATCCTGTGATCTTGTGGGATCTTCCATAGCCCTAAGTGATGTACTCTCGCGCATGCGAGATGAAGCAAGGAGCTAAAGAGGATGCACAGAGTGAAAATGGCATCGGCCACGAGGCACAGATTCAAGTAAGTACAACTATCCACCCGACCAGCACTGGAGATGTCACTTTCAGGAGTCTTTGCAAAATATGAAAAGTCCCCTGAAAGTGGCAGATCTGCTTTAACAGAAGAATTCAAGTCTAACCGCGGAATAAAATGGATTTTAAAGAGTAGACTGACTCAACACAAAACTAGGGAAATTCCTGAATTTGAACTAAACAGGTTTCTTTAAAAGAGAGCATCCAGAAATCAGAAGAAATTCACACGAGAATAAGTAGACTCTAGAACCAAACTTAAGCAAACTTGTACACCAAAAGAATAGAGTAGATGTTCAAACCACAATTAAAATAGGACTAAGGAAACTGTCAGAAATGCTCAACCAAACAAGGCTGTTTTGAGCTAGAACAAGCAATTTTTTAAGAACAACCTAGACCTTAAAACCAGAACTAGGCAGAATTTCAAAGCTGCTCTATCACCTTCTGGGGCATTCGCATATTTTACTAAGATCCCCGATACTGATATCAACGCTTGATGTGCAGTGGCCTGGCGGGTGCAGCGGAAGTGAGATATACTACTAATGCTGTCACCTGCAAGCACCCCATCTTCTCTCTTCAGCTTCTGGCACTTCAATCGCCAGGCGCCCATGTCATGCTGTACTCTTGCGAATGTGTGAGAGTATCACAATGATATATGGAAGATATTATTTTGTATTAACTAAGACAATGTATTTTTTTTCTACAGCAGTCTCTAGCTACAGCTGGGGGGATGTGAAAAAACTTTTTTGTCAAGCAGATGAAAAATGCATTAGACAAAGTAGCGTCCCTACCTTGCTTTATGGGGTTTTTTTTAGGAGAAAGAGATCAGCAATAAAGAAAAAATATATATACAAATCAGTAGGGTGTAAATAAGAAATATATAATAACTCCCAAAAATGGGAGATAATATCACATAAAATAATACAATATAGATGGTCCCAGAGATCTGAGAAAGAAAATAAAATGGACATAGAGCAGTGACCTTGGATATTGGTGTCCCCCACAATGTATAAATTGCACTCACAAGAATATGGAAAATTTCAAGCCCATCGTATGTCTATCAGCATTCGTGATCATTCTGTGCCCAGTCAAATATAATTCTTTTAGAGCTTGTAATAAATCAGAAAAGGAAAAAAATAGTGCAGATGGTAAATAAAAACACAGTATTTTATTTGAATTGCACTTACAAGATACAGTCAAGGAACTCTGGTTTTTACTTTTGTTCTATTTGGGACTTTTAATACTCTTTTATATTCGTGTGAGTGCAATTTATACATAGTGGGGGATACCTTCGGGACACCGAAGTTACTACTCTATGCCCATTTTATTTTCTTTCTCAGATCTCTGGGACCATCTATATTGTATTATTTTAGGTGGTATTATCTCCCATTTTTGGGAGTTATTATATATTTTTTATTTACACCCTACTAATTTGTATGTTTTGGTTCTTGCTAGTTGGTGTATAGAGGGCACACTTTTCCTAGTAGGTGTTGTAAGTTGTACGTTTTGCATACAGTGGTTATATTGCTTTTTTTTATATTTAGCAATTAAGAAAAGACTAACAGATAAGGAGTGTGGTAGAGAAGAGGAACTTTTTGAAGAAAGGTAAGTTTGGGGTGACAGAGTCACTGTAAGTCAGTTACGTGGACTCGCGTTAAAGGTTGAACAATGTCAACTCTGCTTTCCATCCTTCTAATGTTTACAAAGTTCTGATGAGTTGTATAGTTATAGCATCTATTCCTCAGGGCATAATTTAAACCTAGCAAAAATGTGCTGGTCAAATAATGTGAGATGGTATACTCAAGGTAGAACTTATATAGACTTTCAAGTAAGGATGTTGATGATCAAGCAAACAGTTGGTAAATGCTAATACAAATAACAGCAAAACTTTCTCGAAAGAACAAGATTAAATTTCAAATAACATGATAGATTGAAACTGGATCTGTTCTCAACCCAGAATTAGGTAAAATCGTAAGTGTAAAGAATGAATATATATTGTGAAGAGAAGACAAGATAGACAGCATCATTCCCAATTTTCAGCACTGCATTTCTTGAAAAGGAATAAAAAGATTATTTTATAGAAATCAGGAATGATAAATAAATACAGTGGAAATTAGTTGGAGAGAAAGATAGCATGTTAAACCGGGAGACAATAAATTATGATCATGCCAAATATTTTATAGACTGAATCAGAAATTGCACAAATGTGGGAAAAGAATGACTCGGAGAGATTCCCTTACAAATACTGTAACCGGCTGGGGAAAGTGATAATGCAGGCTGCATGACAATCAGTGACTCAAACTCCCTCGTACCCCTAGTGAACCCCCATTATCACTTTAGTTATTATAGTAAATATTTTCCAACATTCATTACTGCATTTCCTTGATCAGTTCTGAGTCAGCTTCCTAAACAGCACTGTGAAAGCCTATTATATCTGTTAAAATAATAAATTAGATATATCATGTTTAGTGACTAAATTATCTATTAATAGAATATTTGCTCCATATCACAAATTCTATTAACAAGTTACCAAATTGTGCAATTGGGTAAAATTACAGTAATTTCTCCCATAATGATTTTCATACCGCTCATTGGATGGGTGGATGGATGGATGGATGGATTGATGGATAGATAGATAGACAGATCCTATTTTTCCTACTTCCTCTCTTCTAATATTCCATCCCTAATTCTCAGGGACTTAAATATTCCCATTAACCCACCTTTGACCTCAGCAGCCTCTAAACTACTTATAATTACTTCCTCCCTTGGGCTATCACAGTGGGCTAATTCTCCCACCCATGTAGCAGGCAATACCCTTGACCTAATCTTCTCTTATGAATGTACAGTATATAATATCTGCAACACTCCATTTCCTCTCTCTGATCACCATCTCTTATCATTTGCTCTCCAGTACCCCCTCACCCAACAACCTCAGCTTAACCCCCTCAACTCAGGAGGAACCTTAATTCTATTGACCTCCAGCAGCTGTCAGCTGATATTGATTCACAACTGCTATCTATCACTACCATCTCCTGTCCCTCACCGGCCATCTCCACATATAACATTACCATCACCTCTACCTTGAACGCTGCAGCCCGGTTTCAAACATGCACCTCGAGGAGGACACGCCCCCCAACCGTGGCATACTAAATCAACACGCTACCTGCAAAGATGCTCCCGTTGTGCTGAACACTTCTAGAGGAAGTCTCGCACCCAGGCAGACTATTTCCATTATAGATTCATATTGTGTTCATACAGCGCAGCCTTTGCCCTCGTCAAACAGTCATACTTTTCCTCTCTCATTAGTTCATGCTCCCGCAATACCAGGCATCCATTTGAGACCTTTAACTCTCTTCTTCACTCTGCTGTGGCCACCCGCCAAACTAACCTTACAACCAATAGCTTTGCATGTTACTTTACCGACAAGATTAAACAGCTAAGGAAATAATTCTCCCCACCTTGCTGTTCTCTTTCTCATCCACACGTGGATAATGCCTTTCCTACCCTTCAGACTTTCTCC